CGGAGGTCGGATGGATGACAAACTTGGCTCGATCGAAGGCTGACTGTACCAGGCTGTAGGTTATCTCCTGATTGGGATCAGGGTCTGTTGCCTGCACGGTGAACACGTATGTATTCTCCGGCTGCTCCTCCTTGACGGAGGGCGCATAGCCGGCGCAGTTCTTGAACGCGGGCTTTCGATTGTCGCCCAAGTAGTTGTCGTATCTGCTAGAGCTGGAGCTGGAGGAGACGGCTTGCAGTGCTCCGACAAACTGGGCGGGTAAGCAAACGAAGGCGGCAACAACAATAACCAGCGCTATCATCGCCGGTCTCTGTGACCGAAGGCAGGTGTAGCAACTTGTTGTTGTTGTTGTTGTAGAGCGACATTTTCGCTTGTGTTGCTGATGTGGCTGCTGTTGAGCGGGATTCGTATTGCTGCTGCTGCTGTTGCTGTTGTATTGTGAGCGTAAAGACATTTTATAGCATTTTATTCTGTGTACACGATGGCGGAAGGGGATGTCGCAGGTGAGAGGGGATTTCGATCTAATCAAGTTGTCGATATCATCGTAGTAACAAAACAGAAATCACTAAATGAATAACCCGGTATTTTTTTTTTTTATTTTTTTTTTGTATTTCCACGATTTCGATAACTTTATATATATATATATATGTGTGTGTGTGGATCACGGGTTCACGTTACTTTACTTTTCTATTGAACTCGAATTCTTAAAATTCGTTCTCTCGCTCACGCTTTTGCTCACTTTTGCTCTTGCTCTACCTCTCTCCCGCTCACTCTCACAATCGTTTGTTTGTGTTCGTGTGTTTGGCAGTTTGTTTAGACTGCATTTTCATGGCAACCGACGCACGAAATACTTTGTAAAATCGAACTCAAATCAACTTGCAATTAATTCAATTAATTTTCATTCAACTTTCAGAATTTATGCTCATTTAGCTTAAGAATAGCATTTGCTCATTTGCTTTGGTATTCACATTGATTGCCAACTTTGCTTTGTTCAGCTCTTCGTTGTTGCGGCTCTACGGCTTATTTCACTCTCGCGAACAAACAGGTAAATCCAGGTAAAAAGCGGTTTCACACACACGCAAGCGCGCATACACACATAGAGGCTGCCTCTTTCACAGTAACGTAAGGGAGTGTGTGTGTGTGCTTAAGAGCGTTGTTTGGTCAGTGCACTTGTATTTGTTACCAACACGTATAAATGCATGTGTGTGTTTGAGTGTAAACGTTGGCAAAACCAAGGAAAAAGGCACTTTTGTTACTTTTGTGGCGTTTGCACAAGTCACAAACTCGGTTTGTTCGTTGTTTAATTGCTAACTGCACTGCAAAACAGTTGACTTTAATTTACTCTATTCGTATATTAGACGTAAATCGGATTTTGTTTTGATTCAATTTTATTCACAATTGCTTTGTGATCTTGTTTCAAAGCAACCGTTAGATGAGACGGAGTGGCAACGCGAAACCGAAATACACGAGCGTCCGCACGATTCAACTGCGAGAGACGGAATGAGCAACAAGCCGAAAATGAGCGGCAATTCAGCGAGCGAGCAGCCACAATGCCGATATATCGATATTAAATTTATGCGATAGTATATTGTGAATGATGTTAATTAACACAATGGCTTGAGTTACTTTCTTCTTCTGTAAAGATCTTACAGTTTGGAGATTATGTTAGTGGCCGTCGACGTCGAAATTCAAATTTCGAAGTTCGCATTTTGTATGTTCGTTCCGTTATTTAAATGCTATTTTAGCGATTTGATAGTAAACTGGATCAGTAGAATATTTGATTGTCTTGCATTTGTTTAATACTACTAATAATTAATAGTACTTAGTACATTTAATATTCTATTACATAATAGATTTACCTAACAAAGGTAGAACCTCCGTTAATAATTAATCCGAGCTTTAATAAATTTTCGAACATACTTTGAATTAAGGCATCTTCGAACTCCGAAAATAATACAAATCCACTTTTTGTTTAATTGATCCTAAAAGTATGTATTTGTTTTTGTAAACTCTTGTATGATGCAGACATATGTACATAGATGTTACATGAATACATTATTAAAATGACTATGCCAACGTAGTTGTTATTTATACATTTTATTCAATTGATACCAATTCCGGCCTAATGTAGTAAATACATAAATAAGATATGTATTTTCGCCGGCAAAAAACGATAGCGCAGTATCGTTAAATTTGCTCTCGAATATCGATACATGAATGCGATGTTGCACTAGTCACTAAGTAATATACTAAATAAATACCAAAAGAAAAACTCTGTCATCGTCATCGTTCATTGTCTTTTCATTAATTGCTTGAAAAAGTAGAAAAAGGCCGGATTAACTTTAATACGGGTAGAAAAATAAAGTTTCAAACAACATTGGCGGAAACACATGCCAGTAGCAACTGCCTTGTACACCCATATACACGTACTGTGCAATACTGCGATAGTTTAACATCACCAACAGCAACAACAATAACAACCTAAAAACCAAACACTGCCCCGAATTCGTGAATCACCAAACGAAAGAATGGAACAAACACAGATTACAGATGCGGAAAAGGTTCGCATTGTCTCCGAGTTCATACTGCATGCGCCGCCCGGTGAATTCAATGAGGTATTCAACGATGTCCGCGAGCTACTGAAAAACGACTCCTTGCTGAAGGATGGCGCCAGCCACGCCTTCTCCCAATACAACAAGGACCAATTAACGCCCGTGCGGGTCGAGGGCAGTGAACACAATGCGATCATCTCTGAGTACAATGATTTGGGTGCGTATATCAACTCCAATTTATGCAATTCTGCCTGTAAGTGATGGAATGGGGTAGTGGTTGGCCATCGGAGTAGGAGGAGGAGTGGGCGTCAGCTGCTGAGAGTTTGTTTGCTTATATTTTTGTGGCGTTTACCATATATGGGCATACGTTGCAGAGTCAGCCGAAACACACACAGACACATGCACGCTCACAGTATTTACAACTCGTTACAGTGGAAGCAATTGTTGAATTGAATGTTAATAATTCATTTCAGTTCATTTATTAAAGTAATAGTATATATTTTTATTAAAATTCAATAACTGCAAACTAAAATAAAATTCGAATTGGAAATCGCCATGTGGATTTCAGATATCATCAACATATTATCAAAAATTAGTCATAGATAAAATGAATTCCATTTCTGGTCCCCTTTCAAAAAAGTTGAGTTAGAGGTTTTGTAATATTATTATTTATTTATATGTCTAGATTTGTCACTACAATTTTCAAAGATTTCTTATCATCAAAGATATAGATATTGATAAGATATACAAATTTCCCCCGTATTTAATAAATTTTCTAATCGAAGTTGCTTACATTTATAGGGAATGGTCGCTTCTTCGATCCTCGCACAAAGCAATCGTTTAAGTACGATCATCTACGGAAAGAGGCGTCCGATTACCAGGATCTTAAGGCAGATGCCAATGCAGAATCGTGGCGAGCTGCCCTGGATCTAGCTACCTTAGCATATACCGCCAACCACTATAGGCACGGCGTAAGTTCAATTAACTAAATACATTGGTAAATATATATATTTATGTATATACATATATTATTTATGGTGCAGGTGTGCTCCGTGTTTGGCAAGTCTCAGGGAAATCAGATAACTCTGACCATTTGCATTGAGGATCATCAGTTCCAGCCGAAGAACTATTGGAATGGCAGATGGCGTTCGCAGTGGCACGTTAGCTTCCAACCTGGTTGCGGCCTGGCCGAGCTGAAGGGCGTGCTGAAGGTGCAGGTGCACTACTATGAGGATGGCAATGTTCAGCTGGTGTCATCGAAGGATTGCCGCGAGAGCGTGGTTGTCTCCAATGAACAGCAGTTGGCCAACGAGGTAATTCGCCTGATTGAGGAGGCGGAGAACGAGTATCAGCTGGCCATCTCGGAGAACTACCAAACTATGTCGGACACCACATTCAAGGCGATGCGGCGACAGCTGCCCATAACCAAAACCAAGATCGACTGGAGCAAAATCGTATCGTACAGTATTGGTAAAGAGCTAAAGACGCAATAAGAACAGGAGCAGCAAGCGGAAGCCGGTGGCACGCCAATATCCCCGTTGCCCATGGCAGTGCCGGCGCAGTCGCAGATCAAGAGACCCAACAGTCTTCCACTTGCAATGGCCAAGCGAGAGTAGTGAACGGAGCAGAAACGGAGATCGCAGCCAGAACCATATATATACACTATCTATTTACGATCGTTAAATGTTGGCGCTTATGTAATAACTGTCTTTAATTTGCTTATCTTTTACACAACACAACAACACATGCATCAATACTTAACTACTACATCTACATACATATACGTGCACAGTGCATACATTTCTTATCTGTTATATTACGATGAAAGTGGATATGTATATATATATATATGAACGAAACATACACCAACACACTCACACACAATACGCATACTATGTGCACATATTCGTGTATGTGCAACACAACGTATCAAATCAATTAAACTTGGATGATTGTCGTCAGCTCGAACCTGGATCATAGTCACAATCGCCACCAACAGTCGCCTTTATCGTTTAATTAAGCGCGTGTTTTTAATTCTAATAATAATAATAATAATAATGATAATAATAATAGAATGCATGTACTTTCAATAATGTATTATACATTTATAAGAGCATCGGTCCATTTATGTATGTAACCCTTGTCTCTCTCTATCTCTCACTGAAGCTGGCATCAGTTAGATCTTAAGCCACCGCACCTTGCAAACAGTAACAGTATAAACAATTTATATACAATCTTTTTTAAAAAACGAACAATAATTCAATGCATTCAATAAACACACCTACGCAATTGCAAGATAATTAACAAAAACTATTAATATAAATATACATACAAATATTTATATATATACAAAAGAGCGCTGCATAAACAAACAAAACAAAAATACGTTTTTTGTTCAATGAGACTTTGGTTTTATTTTTGAAATTTTTTGTATACTAAAATTGATAATTAAAAGCTTGCATAGTCAAATTTAATAACAATAAATGATATAAATTGAAAATTTTGATTTATCGCATGCGTCCGCCATCCGCTGTGTGAACGAAAGCCGATGATTCTTCCGCTTGGTGAAGCGGCTGTGGCTTCGGGTATCCGTGTCTCTCATAATGTGGTACGCCGGCTGGTAATTCTGAGTGTTTGGGTTCCGTTTGGTCCCGCACCGAGTATTCATCTTGTTTTTTAAGCAAAAAACGCTTATTGGGATGCTGATTGGCCTCCAACTCTAGTCGATCTATGAGCCAGCCGTCTTCCTTATTTATTGCCCAAAAGAAAAGTTTGCCTTTGTCCTTGGGGCCACGCACAGAAATCTCGAATTGGGCGCTCTCTGCATTACATGTATTAGCCGAATTGGATATGTCGAAGCCAGAGTCCTTGATGGGTTCGCCTAGCAATCCGACCGCACCTACAAAACTTGTTTACATTTTAACCGAACAGCTGGGCTGGGTCAATCCACCTTACCTTTGTGTTGGCGTAGTGTTTGCAGTGCCAATTTATAATACTCTGAGGAACGCACACGATCTTCGAGTTTCCAGCGCATGAACATTACCGCTGAGATGGACACCATAGCGCCGTATACACATATGTTGCCCAGTGTCCGATTGGACGGGAGCCGCAGTTTAAATGTCGGCATTATTTTATTCAAATTTGCATTTGCTCAACTTGTATAATTTTGTTATCGCTCTTTTGCCGGCGCAGGAATGATTCCGATAGATTATTGCATGTGTGACCGTTTGTTGAATTTAGTCTGGTTATACAACTGTATCGCTATTGTTAAAGCGTGTTGTAAATATAGGAATGAATTAAAAATTGAAGTTGAAGTCATAGTCAACTATAAATACTACAGATATGAACCACCTGACGCTTACCTTCAATTTGTTAAGGCAGCGCCTTACGTGCTCAGCGACTGCGGCGCGCTGCTATGCAGCCAAACCGGCTGCTGTGGCAGCAGGTGAGTTTGCTATTACTTGATTGCTATTTACATTGATTGATAATGTAATTTGAATAATGTAATCATATAGTGGGCAAAAAGAAGAAGCTGGGCAAGCTGGGGCCCATCATGGAAAAGAAGATAATACCAGTTGAAACGGATGCAAACAAATTGGTCAACTACGTGTGCGGCAGCAACTATATGAAGACTGGCGAGGACATCAAGGTAAAAATCAATATAAGTGTCCTGATGGTGTAATTAATCACTGCTCATCTGCAGCTCAAGCCTGACTCGGAGTACCCAGACTGGCTGTGGACCTTAAATACCGAACGCATCATACCGCTGGAAGAATTGGATCCCAACACCAAACAGTATTGGCGCCGCCTGCGTAAAATGGCTCTGCGGCGCAACAATCAACTGTCCAAGCTGAAGAAGTTCTAAGTGCGTTATTTTCTCTGTGCCTGGTAGCTGGTCACACTGCTCACCCGACCTTCAACTGTTTAAACGAATCGTCGTATATAGCTTTCTTTGGTCAGCCGAGAATTCTTTCATTATTTACCTTGCTGTTGGAGCAAGAATAAACACTTCGATTACTTTTATTGCTACGTTCTTGTAGCATAACATGTATACAAGCTTTTATTTAACAACAACTTGCACTTATCGATTACATTGTTTGTGTTTATTTTGCACACCAGCAAATTGTATAAAATACGAGCGTAAGACAAAAATCTTAATCAATATTGTAAAAGAATTGAAAAGGCTAACTTGAAATGTGGAATTGTTGGATTTTAGGATTATTGTTTACAATGCCGCTGATGGCAATTGCAGGAGCAACGGAGCCCACTAGTAAGTATATATAGTTTAATCACAGGTCAATAATAACTATCCATAAATCCGCACCCAGAGCACGTTGTATGCTACCAGGGCACTTGGTCCACCTATCGGCCAAAGGAGGGCAAGTTTGGTGTGGAGGACATTGATCCGTTTCTGTGCACACACTTGGTATACGCTTTTCTGGGTATACAGGAGAGCGGTGAGCTGCGTGTCATAGATCCCTATTTAGACCTGGAGGATAATGGAGGCCTTGGCAACATCAAGAAATTTAATGCTCTCAAGCTAAAGAATCCCACGCTGAGAACGCTGCTCGCTGTTGGCGGCTGGAATGAGGGCTCCAAGCGCTTCTCGATTGTGGCCAACGATCCGGAGAAGCGTTCGCGGTTCGTTGAGCAAGTCGTGCAGTTTATCCAACGACATGGCTTCGATGGACTGGACCTGGACTGGGAATATCCAGGACAGCGTCATAATCTGAACGAGAACAACGATCGCGAAAATTATGTAGCTTTGCTCAAGGAACTGAAGGCGGGCCTAAATCCCTTTGGCTACATACTCAGCGCTGCCGTGGGCTCAGCAGAGTTTTCGGCCAGCATATCGTATGATATACCAGCTATATCTGAGTACTTGGACATAATTAATGTTATGGCCTACGACCTGCACGGTCCGTGGGATGAATCTGTGGCCATCAATGCGCCTTTATATGCGGGTGCAAACGATACGACGCAACGGGCACAGCAGCTAAACGTGGATGCAGTCATCAAGTATTGGATAGACTCTGGAGCGCCGCCTGAGAAACTGATGCTGGGAGTGCCCTTTTATGGTCGTACCTTCACACTAGCTTCGGCCGAAGGGCATATGCCCGGTGCACTGCATATAGGACGTGGCATAGCTGGGCCCTACTCACGGGAGCCAGGCGTTCTGGGCTACAATGAGCTGTGCGAGCTCTTTCAGCGTGAGCAGTGGACGTTGAGCTGGGAGCCGATGCAACAAGTGCCATTCGCCTTCAGGGAGCGCCAATGGGTGGGCTACGAGAACACGAACAGCTTGATGCTGAAAGCACAATATGCCATGGAGCATAAGCTGGGCGGCATAATGATTTGGTCTCTTGAATCGGACGACTTTCGTGGCTGCTGTGGCGGCGAAAGTTTTCCCCTGCTGCGCAGCATTAACCGGGTGCTCTTCGGGAGGGACAATCCGACTGGACTCGCCGCTGAGATGCAGCAGCCAGCAGCAGCAACTCAGAGCGGCGATGGAGTCGCTGACTCTTACTGCCGCGACACCAATGGCTATGTGAGGGATCCCAACAACTGTTCCAAGTTCTATTACTGCAACGGCGGTGCGAGCTTCATGTTCGACTGCCCATCGGGTCTGGTGTTTGATACCAACACAAACAACTGCAACTATGCAGATCTAGTAGAATGCTAATTGCACAGCCGAAAGAATTTTTTATTTACTGACTATTTACTATAAACTTGAATTTATACAATGTAACTGAGAGTTAGTCAACTACCTTCAGGTTGAGGGGCAAGTCGCGGAAGTTGTAGCCATCTTGGCCTGGACGCCAGGTGACAAAGTTGTTGGAGCACTTCACCTGCTCTGCGGGCTTGCACTCGCCCACCTCCTCGTCGAAGAAGTCGCCGTCTTGGCACTCGTAGTCGGTGCGCTGGGCATCGCGGCACTCATAATACGCCTGACAGTCCCACATATTGCGGAACAGTCCCTCCCTGGGACAGAGGCCGATGCCCTCGGTGGTGGGCGCGGCAGTTGTTAAGACATTGGGATTGCCTATTTTCGACACGATTACTTTGAGCAGAGCGTAGCGCTCACCGCATCGGCCAGAGAAGTCGTCGGCATCGATGGACCATGCCATGGCGCCACCCAATCGTTGATCCCTAACCAGACGCATTTTGGCGCTGATGCTGCTGCCATCCTCATAGCTGATCCACTGGTCAGCCTTAAAGGCATATGGGACATGCGCCTGCTTGTCAAACTTCTTTGTCCACTTGGACGCTTGGGAGCAGAACTCAGCGTAGGTCATATACCCGGGCCGTTTGGAGGAAACGTGCTGCAGGCCGGGTCCCTTGCTGGGTGCATTGACATTCGTTTTACTCTGGTCGCGAAGGGTATATGTTTGTCCGAACAGCGGAATACCAAGGATTAGCTTTTGTGGCATTTTGCTCTGCTTCACCCAGTGCTTGATGCCGAGCTCCACGCTCTGGCTGCCGTTGCCACGGAGCGGCGACATGTAGTTCACCTGCTGCGCGTATATGTCGTGCGAGTCGTGGCTGTTGAGAATAATGAAATCGACGATTTTCGCTATCCTCGGAATATCGTAGGCAGCGAGAGTGTTCTTGTCCAGCCGCGCAGAAACGGTGACCAGAAGTAGAAAGTGATGTTCATCCAGGCTATTTGGGAAGTGTTGTTAGACTCTATAGGACTCGGGGGATCTACCTTGCACTTACATGATCTTCAGCTCTTTCAGTAATGTGATAAAGTTGTGGCGATCGACGAAATGACCCCCGTGCTGGGTGGGAAACTCCCAATTCAGGAGCACTCCGCTAAAGCCTCGTTCGAAGAGGAATTTCGTTAGAGTAACATAAAACTGATCGCGTTTGCGCAGGCTCGCTGCCATCTTGGAGAATCTTTCGGCGTCGCCTTTCTTATCGCCAATGGATAGAATTGCCTGATAGTTGTCGCGTCTCATACTCAAGATATCAGTCAGGAGTCCTGCAGGACACTCGAGTAAATTTAGATACCACACTATCTGCAGAGAGATATTTACCTCGCCCCTCAAGCATGGCCTCATTTATGACCTTCAAGGCACCCGACCCGTCGGGGTCCAAACTGGCCACAGACCCATAGACGAAATGTGTGCACAACTTTCTGTCTATTGTCCAGGAATTGAAGTAGCTCAATCCCTTGCGATCATAGGAGTCAGTATTCCAGTGGCAAAATATTGAATCTACGGATTGTATTTATATATAACAGAGTATATATATTCTATATAAGTCCTGTACCCACGTTTTGTGCCTGTCGTCTGCTCGCAGATCAGCGAAGTTATGAAAATTAATACACACAGAAATTTCATAGCGCCGATTGCATTACATTGACTGAACAAACAAAAAATTACTAGAAATTTAAGATTATCTTATATACATATAGATATAAGTTGGTCGCGTTCATTTGCGTGTTTTCTTTTTGAAATATTACAACTGATAAATAAGTTCAATTTAAGCTTCAATAAAGTGTTAAAATGTGAGTAATTTCTGCTATGTAAATTAGGTGTTTTATGAAAGGTAATATTTCTTTCAAAGGTTACTTGAATTTGAATGAAAAGCTTGAGTTGCTATACTTCTATTATTATGTATGATTTAGGGTCTGTAGCTCTTAGATATGTAAGGAACTTAAACCTTTAAAAGCATTTACAAATTTCTGTTGATTGGAAATAGTAAAGCTAACTTAAATTCTACAAAAACTTGATCCCAAAAGCTATTGAAATATTACCTTACTTGCACTTTGATATTTGAAAAGATTGGAAGTGGGAAAATATTATGCAAATAATAAAATCTATATAATATAATATGTATGTATATATAAAAGGATCATTCAGAATATATTAAATATAATCGCATAACTAACAGCTTGTTCATACAATGACAATATACACTCAAATATTCAAGTATTCGCTTATTTAAGCAAATATATGTTTATGCATTTTTATGTCATTTTTTTTTAGACAATCAAATTTTAATGTGCCATTAAATGTGGCAATAAAGTGCGACGGAACAAACGGTATTCATATCAAGAAAGTCAACTCAGGTATATACTTCAGATTTTTCTTTCAGCTGAGCAACCGGACATGTACATACACAAATACATATAAATACACCCACATATATACATATAATATATGTTTCCTTCAGTTGCGCATCCGGCACTTTATGTGTGAACAACAATGAAACAAATTTTACGATTATTACTGATTTAAAAACAAAGTCGATCGATTTTACGCCAATTCGTTTACATAAATACACAAATTTATGTACCTCAGCCTCAATTGCTGGCAAGAGTAAGGCCTCAAGTTTTCTCTTTCCAGAGACCTATTTGAAATCCTTGGAGCCAGCGAAAAACATATAAATTTCCATAAAAATCATTGATTACAGCTGTTTGTTAGTTAAAAAAGGAAATTTCTTCTACTTTGCGAAATTTCTTTTATCTTGGAAAGTCAGTCGACAACAAATAAATCTTGTACGTATATCTCGTAAAGTTAATAGACCTGTTTAGTATTATAGTATATTCAAAGAAATGAAAAGAAAACAAACGAAAGAAGAGCGAGACACTGAGTGAAAAGAACAGACAGAGGCAGAAAATAATAACAGAGAGAGAGAGAGAAGACTAGATTGAGATAGAGGAATAGAGAGAGAAAAGAATAGAATGAGATAGAGAAAGACCTAAAGAGCGAGATACAGAAATTACTGGAAGTGAGAGAAGAAAAAAGTGAGGTAGCATAATAAAGTGAGGTATGTAGATCAAGAATGTAGTTTTCATAGTAGTAGCTTTCATAGGAGCATTTGACACACTCATCAATTAGTCTCACACATTTTAAGGCGAATTCGGATTGCACTCCTAATGGGCTATTCGAAAATAGACCTTTACACCTAAGTAAGTTGGAAAAAGAAAAGACATGGCTGGGAAAGAGAGTTCGACATGGCATACAGACGACTTTGATAGACTATGCAGCCAGCTAGAGACCTGTCCGATAAAAGTGAGCACTGTCTAGAGACAACAGAGTC